CGTGTTATACACAAAATAAATCGGTAAGTATCCACTTTTTATCATTAAATATGATTAACGCGAGCAACTATTTATCTTGAATAAAAATTTCTGTTTTTAGATTTTTACAAGATTGGCAAATATTTTTCCAAAAAGTTACTAAAATTACTTCTGTGCATGATCTAAATTTTCTTAATGCGATAAAGTTAGTTTATATAACATAAGAGAAATGATAAAAAGGATTTTACTGCGAAAAAATTATTAGTCGATATATAAAGTACATTTAAGTATTTCCAGTAATATATAATTACGTTTACAGGAATATAATTACACATTTAAGTATTCGTGAAAGATTAAATACATGCTAACAATAAGCTGTACGCACTTAAAAGTAAGGCTTTCTTATTTCTTTAGAAGAGTACGCTCTTAAAATTCTAGATTCTTTTATTTATAATTTTATTTTTTTTTTTATTATACATCTTGTACTCCCTTTACATTTTTGTGACAAATGCGTAATCTAATCTAAAGTATCTCGTGAATTTCTTTTTTGATTGATCTTTTCTATAAATTTTTGTTTGTAATTCATCCATATTCACAACTTATGAACAGTAATATGTATTATTCACAGTCGCTATACAAATTTCGTTCGACACACTGTTGATATACATTTAACAACGGACGTAATCAACTTGTCTTAACTCGAGAAGTCAAAGCGATCATTTTGACTCCAATCAAATTTCTAACTAGTAACCTTGATATTATTTGACAGAGTCTTGTACTCTTTTCTTTTATTTTCCATTGTGCTTTTAGATTTGCTTGGTTTAGAAAAATTTCAATGCCGAAACGACTCGAAAGTTAGTCAAAGTACGATCTTAAAATAATATTATTTATCAAAAAACGCAATCACAATAACATAAATCATCCAAACTAATGCTGAAATACATTTATTGATTTTGTTTCGATTTGTGATTATCTGAAAAAAATAAGGAACCGCGAAGATCAAGCCCTTTCTATCAACTTTTCTAGCAATTGTATGTACATATACGACAGCCATTCTTCTAACATTTTTGTAATTTTTAACAGTAACAGGAACTGCAACATCTAATGCCCAATCATCAACCCTTTTAATATTTGGGGCCGGTTTTAGTAACAAACAAGTTAGGGCCAACATTTATTCAGGAACAGCATTTCAGCTATTGATCTTCTTTCATAAAAATTTATCCAATGTGAAAAAATGCTGCATACGCGAACTACGAAAAACGGTTGGTACAAAGTGTATAACAGATATCTAAGAAAATTATTTAGTATCAGATTTATGTAAATGCAGAATGTGAATGAAGAATTAATCTTTCTTAAGCAAATATTTGAGACTATTTAACTATTTATTCTTTCATCATTCAGATATTTTAGCGACATTAAGTTTTGTTCAAAAAAAGTATATATATAGTCTAAATTCTGTTATTTCCTTATATTCTTCAATCCGAATTTGTCATAAATTTTTAATATTCAATGTTAAATAACTTCTATATAATGCCTTAATTTTCAAAGAATTTCCATTTTTCTCTTAATTTAATGTCTAATATATATATATATATAATGAAATTTAGTTATATGAGAGGGATAACATGTCACAAATCAATCAATCAAAAAATATGCAGCGTATTTTCAAAATCATCAAGCCTCACCGGACATTTAATACCAGATTTATTTCCTTAAATTCTGTAGAAATCACAATAACGAAATACAATAACTCTATTAGTATTACATTGTTTGCATGATTGGAATTAGTGATTTTTGTTTGCAACTTTTGATGATTAAATAAATATATTACTTGACTACATGAAATTCATTTGGGTTGATACTTTTCACTGTTCATGATAATTAGTACAGTTTTTGCATACTATCTTGTTTTAATCACGACTTTAACAATTATTTTTAAAAACGGAATAAAATCTGACATACAAATAAGAATAAAAGATATTTTCATCCTTCAGAGAATGTCCGATTTGGCTTACCAACGCTATATAAGCATTTCAGTCGTTTCCATAACTTTTTTATAAATAGCACAATTTTCTTCATTTTTTCGGTTTTTTCTTTATCTAGTTAATATTTTCCAACTATTTTGTTCATTGCTATCTATCATCTTTATTTTACGTTTTCTTTAATCAAAAATCACTTTTGCGTATTACGACCGTTTGTACAAGAAAATATATGATTCTGTGAGTTTTTTGTCCTTATAAGATTCAACCGTAAAGGTTCGTCCATGTACAAAGGGTTCGAGCTGTTTCGCATTCGCTGATGAAAATCCGAATGATCATTTTAAATGCACTAGCAATTTTGCTAGCGGGCTGCCACTTCACTCATATTCAGCTTTACCCTGCGTTCTTGCTCCCTAAGAGTCCTTTGCATCAACAGTGTTACAGCTTTGGTTAACTAATCCACTTTGTTTTTTGACATACAAACCAAGATCTACATTTACATAGTAAATATAATAAATAAAAAATATATTTTTAAACTTGGTGTCTTTCTTAAAATATATACAAATATATGCTATGCTTTCGATAGTTTAAAGCCAAACGGATAATCATAAGTAATAAAAAAGGGATGGAAAAATTGACAAAACTATAATTATAAGATTTAAAATACATTATACTTATATATTTTGCTGTTTGTAAGTCAATTTGAAAATATCCTGATATCTGCGTCAGACACGTTTCTTAAAAATTTGCAGTTTTTAAGATGTTAACATCACTATTCTAAATAAGTTTTATGATACAGACAAATACGGATATACAAAGGATTTAGTTAACCACGCTTAACACATTAACGTTGCTGCAACCAAACGCGTAAAAAAGTTTAACGTTGATTACATACTCAAATACATGGGCGATCGATAAAAGTCGTATAAAATCGGTTCAAATGCACGTGCAATCGCATGACTACTCGTGTATAAATAATATGAGAATCGCCATCTAACTACATATCTATAAGATAAGAAACAAATTGTGAGCAGCAAATATATATGTATAATTACGGAATATATATTATACACATGTATATTATACATATAATATATATTTCGCAATTTTACCAGAAATGCATTCACACACACACACATACACGCGCGTACGTACACTCACTCACGTATGCACACGTACGCGACAAGCACACATAGGATCGCAACGGCAGCTAGATGATCGAACACTTTTGGTTTGTTGTTCCTTCGCTATTTTCTCTATGTTCCTCCTTCTCTCCTTTTTCTCCTCTTTTTTTTTCTTCCTGCCTCTTGCATTCTATCTTCTTCGCATATACATACATAAACACACATGCGCGCACGCAACACACACACATATACGTACTGTATATTATTTCATATATATTACACACTTTTTCTTTTTCACATGTCATTATCGGTTCATCGCGCACATAATTAAGAAAAATATATGTACATAAAAATGTGGCGCAACGGCGATAGTAGAAGTAATAGTTATAGTTTAATAATAATAATGTAGACTCGTAATAGATTAGAAGTTAAAGTATCGATTGTTAAATATAGTCGAATTTCATATAATTTTCGCTTCCTTTTCCGTTTGGAGCACAATACATTTTTTATGCGTTTCTTCTTGCGTTTCTCTTATAGCTATTCGTTAAGAGAATTTGAGATATAGGAGGGAAAATAGGAGCACTGTCGAGATAGGAGTCACAGCGATAAATAGCCAATAAGTGTCGTTGAAAAAACACGAGTCACTATTTAAACCCAAAAATCTCTCGAAATGTGTCCTGCAGTAAAAGAAACACAGACAGACATTGTGTTCCATGGCGCGATCTTCCAATTATTTCTCGCTTCGCTTTTGCTTTTCCTTTGTACAATACTACTACATATTTTACATAGTTAATCACTTTGTAATCACTATCATACATAAGAACTTGCAAAAGGTGTACCTTGTACTGTAAACCGCAAAACATCCTTCGTTAGAAAAATTTCGTCGCTGTCGTTGTCGTACTTGGCGTCATTAGCATTATTGTTATCGTCACCGTCATCATTAACATTTACATTTGCATTCATATTAGCATTGTCGTCATTGTCATCGTCATCGTTATCGTCATCATTATTGTTATCGTCATATCGACTGTAGGATAGAGCATTTAGAAAAATTACCGAAAAGTGAAAGGAGGAACGGTAGCGGTTGTCATCTCGCAACATCTTGTCCTTAGATTGATTTACATTGGCATACTGGTGGTTACAATAACAGATGTGCTGGTGGTGATGGTGGTGATGGTGGTAACGGTGGTGATGGAGATGATAGCAATGGTGGTATTGGTGATGACGATGATGGCAATAGTTGCGATTATAGTGGCGGTGAAAAGTGTGACGAGTGGTAGCAGAATGGTCCATAGCAGGGGATCACTTGTCGGAACTTGGACACTCCCCAGGCTGCTTCATTATCGTATAATCCAGTCGATATTGGGCTGAAATTAAAAGGATTTTGTGTGTTCTTTGTGACGACAATTTGTGAGCAGATGGTGTGATCACGGGTGAAACCATTTAATACTAATCAGTATTCAATATTTAAGTGCTTATCACAAATTTGTATATGCAGTCAATTATAATACTATAAAAATGTGAAGTAATATAAAATAATATGAATGTACTAAGTCATGCAACACAATTCTCTACAGACATACTAAATTTATCTTAATTTACATAAGGTATTCCAAAACAATCCATGTATTTTTCGTATTCTCCGTATTTTTCTATAAAATGCGGATTTATTATTTTTTATAGAAACAATTTTATGTAATATCATCTTTTTTTCAATTTTTTAAGTTATAATATTAAATATTTTCGCAATGAATTGAAATGCTTTTATCAAAATCATATTGAATCTGTTTAAAAACTTTAGTTTTGTTTTCTTTAGATTAAATAAAGCAGATGCGTAGTTTCCAGAAAGCATCCTTTTTTTTATACAACGCAACGCTCGATTACATTAAGAGGACGTACCTTTCTTCGTTAGATCTTCCATCGTTTGATCTTTGCAGTCTACCGCGAGGTGACTATTGCTGCCACAATTATAACAGGAGATCTTTGTTTGCGGAATTACTGCCGCCGCGTATGTTACCACTGGTGTAGGCGGCATATATGATGCCTGTACTGGCGTGGCAGCAGCTGCATTCGGTGGCGGTGGTGGAGGGGGAGTGCTACCGGACGCGGGATGACCCGTGTACGGACTCGTGTACATGATTTCGCCATTCGGTTGGTACGCTGGCTGATAGGCTGGTCGTGCGGATGGCCCGTGCAAAAAGTTGGAGTAGATACCACTGCTAGGCCGTAACGCAGCTGGGAAATGACCGGGCGGCAGATACGTTAGCTGTGAATGTGTCGGCGGTGCCGGGAAGGAAACGCAATGCGGTAAACTTGGCGGTCCGCCGTTCCCGTTACCGGCTCCGTTTAGCATTCCCTGACTTTTCTGTCGCATCGTACGCGTTTGCGAATTTTTTCTAGTAAGCTGTCTGCTCTCCGGTGGCACCGATGATTGCATTGGAGACTGTTGAGGTGCCGATACGTGTGGCGGTGCGGTCGCCGTCGAATGTACCGGCGCGGAACTCATATGATCAGTGACAGGCGGCGCGACATTGCTGTCACCACCGCTGCCACTGACCCATGGTGCTGCCGGTGGTGTTTCGGGAGGCGATCTACTGCCGGTGCTATCGGAACTACTGCTTTGGGAACAATGCCGACTACTCTCAGAATCGAGTCGCAGTGCTTGTAGTTGTCCAAGGCAATACACATGCTGAGCATTACATCTAAAAATATAATCACATCATAATCATTATGTAATTCTTTAATTTTAAATGTTAAGTATCAACAGTGTTTGCTGTTATCTATATAAAATTATCTAGATGAAGAAATGGCTTTATCTTATTTTTATCTAGATGATTAGAATATATTATCTTCATATATTATCTTTTTATCTTAGATAAAATATATATATAATAAGCGTATCTTTTGCAAATTATTTTAGTTACGTAATTTAAAGTAAATTTGATCTAATTCTTCGAAAAATGAACATTTGCGAATCATATAACAGATATTATTTAATGCCAATAATTATGAACTTTTTATGTATAAGTACGAATTCGATTAAGTTTTTGAATTAACGCATATCAAATATTTTTGAATGAACATTATTCGATTGCGCTGGCTATGTGATTAGAATAATATAAATCATTTGAGAAGTGTATTAATTACATTTTGCATCTTCACTTACGCTATCTAATCAATAAACAGTAAAAGTCTTATAAAAATATTGTTTTTTTATCTTATGTCTTGCTTAACAATGATATTATTTTAAAATTATCTAGATAAGTGATATATAATTTTATCTTTTATCTAGATAAATTTAGATTTAAATCATCTCTATTTTATCTAAGATAAGTTTAAATTTATTTTATCTTTATTTTGATGATGATTTTAAGTTATCTAAGCGCAACACTGAGCATCAAATAATTATGTTTTAATTAAAGCTATATTCGCTAAATCGCGATTAAGAATTAAGCCAAAATTTTCCAATATTTTTTAATATCAATTTTCAATCTTTTAAAAATTATTACTTTATTTTTGTTAGAACAATTAAGAGACACGAAAATGATCAGACTACATAGCACTTTTCTTAATTTCTTAATTTTTAATATTTCTAAAATATAACATATTGATTTTTAAAACAGTATTTAAATTGAAAAAAATCATATGTACCTTGAATACCGATTTTGCATCCCAGCTACTGGTACAGTGAGACAAGCATAACATGATGAGTTCTGAGCTGTATACATTTGTGGTGGTGCAGGATACATTGGTATTTGCGTGGGATCTATTGATGGCATGCCAGGATAACGTCGAACATTAGGAGTCATGTGATTGTGATAATGATGCATTGTTGGATGTTGCTCTTGGACTGGCATCAATTTCCCACTTGTATTACTACTTGAATCACTTAATCCTTCCATCCCTGAAGACGCAACCTATAGAATGAAATAAATAATACAAAAATATTTACGATAAATAATGCGAAAATATTTAATATAAAAAAACTACGTTAACTTAAAAAATACAATACCAAATTTTTTGTGGCGATTTTAAAGTATACAGAACAACATATTTACAATTTTATTCTAATATTTTTAAAATAAAGAAATGTACTGCCTTTTTTACAATATCTAATATATCGCAATTTATTTTTATTATAATAAAATGCGAACCAAAACATAACATTATCTTTCTCGTATCATGTTTATTAAACTAATATTCATTACTGATGTACATATATTCCTCAATAAATTAAGGTAGTAAAAACACATTAATTAAATCAGTAACTAAGGTATTAATTTATGACATTTATAAGACAACATTTCTACTCGCTGATAATTTGAAGACAATCAAAAGTCTTCACATTTTTGCAAAAAAAAAAAAAAAAAAAAACAAAAAAAAAACAAAAAAAAAACAAAAAAAAAAACAAAAAAAAA